GTGATAGTGTTAAATACGATTTTCATACCTGTGTGAGAATGTCAGCACATGTTATGTGCTTGACCTCCTCTGGAGGAATTCCTTTGTTTTCACGCCATAAAGGAGATAGTGATATGGTATGATATATAGAGAATAAATAATATAATATTCATAAATATAAATGTAATTTATACACTCATAAATAATAAACAAAAAATATACATTTTAATTCTACTTGTTCATGAATGAATAAATTATGTTTATACTTACATTCTCTTTGCTTATATTTTGGCCCTTTTATTTTTATTTTTTTGTTTTGCTCTGCAAGCTTTTATTTTATTTAGATATCTTACAATTGATAAATGATTTACAGATGACATTTTCGAAAATCGCATCTCTCAATGGAGTTCACATGTTCTTAAAATCACAGGACATCACTTTACTGAACACGGATTTGCCAGATGTGACAGTGGTATGGAAAGAATTCGAGCAGTGTATCATACTAATAGCAATTGCAAGTGGAGTAACAAAATATGTGCTAGACAAGTTTTTGGACGCCACTTTTGGCGCAATGATACTCTTTACTGGTATCGATGAGATAAAAAATACTAAGAATGTAGAAAGGCTTAAAAAAGATATACGTCTTTGCAGTCCTATTATCGATAGATTGATGGACTGCTTAGATATAGGGGATAAAATTTCTACAAAAACCGATATGATTAACATGACAGAATGCATCATATCTTCAGAAAGTCATTTGCTTCAGGTACTAAGATTTTTTGTGTGGGATAAGGCAGTACCATTTTAAACGTGGTATAACTATAATAGTTTGAAAATGTAGTTACAGCAAAATTATATATGATACTCAATAAATATGTATTTAAGATCTGTTTAGAGGGATTTATGGAGTGTCTGGATTCTATGTATGGATGTGTTTTGGTACATGGTTGCGTGGCAGCTGCTACAGAAGGCTGGTGGTCATTGGATTCTGTAGAAAGAAAATTATTAACAATAGCGATTGCTTCAGAGAGTATTTGTACCACACGAGACATTCCAGTGTTTTTACCTCGTAAAAGTTCAAACGTAAGTATTTGTATAGAAATATATGCGTTTATTTTTTTAAATTAAAAATAAACTAAAAAGTATATGTGAATAATTATATATAACTTTAACTGTAACTTCAATTTACGTTTAGGTAGCTTTCAGATTGGTATCTGTAACTCTAATTAATCATGTAGAAGTGTTGGCATTATGTGGACCAAATCCAGAATTAACAGAAATTGAGAGATTTGCTATGCAATGCTGGAAAAGCAATATGGATGCATTATGTACTGTTGAACAGTGTTATCCACGAAACCTACCTATGTTGGTTTCTTTAGATAATGAGACACTTGGGTAACTAGAATAAAAAGAGTTATTTATCTATACAACTATTTTATATGATTGATTATTGTAATATTCTATGAATATTTCAGATTTCTACTAGCAAATTACAAGATAGAAAAATTTGTACTTGGCAGAAACTCTCAATGCGCGAAAAATCGCGTAACGGGATCACACAGATTAGATATTTTGCGAACGTTTTATCATCAAGCGGTCGAAACGTTCGCGCTGTCAATCGAACACGAAGAGAGTAACGATGAAAAATTAACCACGAGTACCTGGAAATTTATCGGGGCTAAGGAAACGTACTTGTGTTCCGAATATCACAAATGTCATGCTGTGAAACATGGTGACAATATACTTTGTGTTTTATACACATCTGTAGTGCCTACTCATACTATGAGACTGATTAGTCAGAAAATAATAAAAATGATACTTAGTGATAAGCAAACATATTGGTAATTTCCATTTTTTTATTTAATGAATTTATAAAATAAAAACTATTATTGTTTATACTAATTTTATATGCATTTTTGTCTTTTTTCTGGCAGAGAGAAAGAGAGTGGGAGGGGGGGAGGGAGAGAGAGAGAGACTGCAAAAATATCATGCGTTACCTAAACATGTATATACTCTCTCTCTCTCTTTTATTGTTGCAAAATTGTACATAAATTTATTATCCTTTTTTCTCTAAAGAAAAAGAAATGTTAAATACAAATGTGTAGAGGAAAAAGCTAACTATAGATCTGTACTTTGTTCGTTTGAATTACGCTTGCTGCACTGCGTTTCTCTTTTCTCTTTCTATCTGCGTTATCCGAATCTATATCTGTTTCGCTTTAGCTACAGAAGGCGTAAAGCTTGAAGAAACAGGTTTTTTTTTATTATGACACATGCATGTGTATCCCAGGTCCCAGTATATCCCGTAATAACGCGATGTTCTGTTCTAAGACAGAATAACAAGAGAATGGTAGTTTCTTTCAAGTTTTAAGGAAAGGAGAATATTCTAGTGATGTCCGACTGTTGCTGGCAGCCTCAAAAAAATCGATAAGGGAGACGCGCGAACCGACGAAGGCGCACGCGTCGAGCGTTACTGATGCGTGTCAGCTGTCTCGGTCGTAAGTAAAACGGGAAAGAGTACAGGTGTTCCTCGCTCCACGTCCGTGGTCTTCCAATGTAGAGCTACGATCGAATGACTTAAATGGCTTGCGACAATTGTACGAAGGTATATCTGGGATACGAGGACGAGTATATTACTGACAAGCACCGATCTTTGCTCAACTTTACGACGAACAAGATCGGCGGGCATCCAGTGAGTAGGGAATGATAGACTCACCTTCCAGAAATCACCGTTTCTCCCGTCGCGATTACTAATATTTTTTATTAGGTCAATTTGCGATATCACTCATTTAATGTTATAATTTAATAAAGCATGATATTTATATAACAAATTTAATACACACGATATTATATTATATACATGAATGAATAATTATACATATGATATATGAAATATTCTGTCATGGAAAAATATTATTTAATATATATTTCTTGAATGTTAATTATATAATTAAACAATTTCATTAATATTTTAGTTAACGTAGTTATTTTTTATAATATATATATATGATGTTTGTTTCCAGAACTGTTATGGGAAAAGTATATTATCATCGCCACAATGCAGACTCTGTGGCTTATATCAGCTCTTGGCTCTCCAATTATATGCTCCGTTAGATAATTCGAAGTATCATCGGACATTATATGTATTTGCATGTATTAACTCAAATTGCTGGAATCAAAATGAAAGCTGGACATGCTTGAGAATACAGCACCTAGAAGATGAAGTTAATAAGACTACTCCGGATTCTGGAAGTGTTAATGTACCATCTACAACAGCTTGGTTGTCAGATGCAGATGATTGGGGAGATAATGTAAATGATAATGCGGAACAAAATGGGAATAATATGTTAGAAAATGATCCATTACAATTTCACTTTTCTTTACGTAAAGAAATAGACCAGGGTATAAGAGAAGAATTGTCTGTATTACGCGTGGATGATCCAAATGCAAACAGGTTCGTGTATATCAAAATCAATTTTATTTATGAATAATAGTAATTACGTGTATATCTTTTTTTTTTTCAAACGTTTCAGTCCAGCCAGCGTAGACTCTCCAGTTAGCGGAGGTGCTGTAGGTCGTTTAGATTCTCCTCAAGCCTCAGCAGAGATCGATGGAGATGAGAACGAAGTCGTATGCATTGATACTCCAACGCGACCACAATGTGATTTAATTAGTTTATTGCATGAAGTAACTCCGTTGCCACTGCAAATCACGAACGCGGAAACCAAGTGTTCGTTCGTCGAAATATTTCTTTCGGTCGATGAAGAAGATTGTAACATAGATGTGTCTCAACACGTCCGAGACTTATTGGTCGAATATCAGCATAGCAATCCGGATGCATCGACCAAGTTTACACCAGATACCGGCAATCCTAAAACTATCGAAACAGATGTGGAAAAATATGAGAAAAGCATTCCTAAACACGGTGATGAGATGTTCCACAACTTCCTTTGCAGAATACAGAGAAATCCTGGACAGTTGTTACGGTAAAATCTTTAACAATGTTATTCTCCATTTTATTTACGTGCGTATAGAATAAGAAGTATACATATATTTTTTCTATTTGTTTTATTCTATAGATATATGATGATTTTATTTTTTAGCTATTCAAGGGAAAATTCTGCACCATTACTGTTATATCCGTTAAGTGGTTGTATCGGTAAATGTCGACATTGCGGCGACGAAATGACTTTTGAGCTGCAAGTTTTACCGACGATCATACCAAAGTTAATATTAAATCCAAGAAGCGATCGGAATTTTCAGATCGAGTTTGGCACTGTTTTAATATACACTTGCGTTAGAAGCTGTTGGTCTGCGACTGATTCATATCGAGAAGAACATGTCGTTGTTCAAGCTGAAAGACTATAGTTGTAAAATATTAATAAGAAAAGTTATGAGTGACGCTAAGGTTCTTCCAGTGATCCTATATTATATAGAATTTCATATTTACACGTCTAGGACGACTAGTCATGTTACGTTTGTAGAAAAATACCGTCCACCTCTTCATGTACACATCAAAAGTCATATGTAGCGAGCGATGGTTGATAATAGTAAAGATGTTACAGAGATATGTATCTCGAGCTACATTAAGCGACATGTGATTCGCAATTGAAAAAGGAAGATTTTAGGAATGTCTGATAGAAGAGAATCTAGAGTAAGAGCATTTATTTTACTTTTCATCTCGATCTTAGTGTATAAGTACAGTGTAAGATACAACTGTACAATTGCTACCGATATATAAATACAGAAACCTCGATAGAAAATGACGTGTATTCCTTCTTGGAGTGAATTCATATGTATTGTACATTTTTACAGATTACTTACAATGACTATCTTAATTATATATATATATAAAAAAAAACAATATGTTGATTGAAACTAATTTACAGATAAATTAATATCTTAGAATCCTATTAAAAAACATACATTGGTGCTACTTAAATACATTATTCACATTAAGCAAATGTGTTTTAAGAATAACTTGTTTTATTTTTCTTTTTATTATATATACATACGCACACACACATGTGTGCACGCGCGCGCCCGTATGTGTGTGCGTATATGGTGTTGTATAAATTGAATCTATCAAATGTTTAGTACGTTCTATTTAATGGATGTTCGGCGAAATAATCTTTTTTACTGTACATAAGTTCGGCAACATCTTTTTTAAACTTATCACCATTGTTCCATGCTGCTGATTGAATTTCATCTGCAAGAACTTGTACCCTGTCTATGGAGAAAACTGCAAAACTATCGGCCAGGTTTCGATCATAATCGTTGTTTCTCAGGCCAATGCAATATGACCTAGACGTTCGTGAAAGGATAGCAATCAGCGCGAATGTTCTTGTTGCTATTTCACCAACTCGACGCAATTCCATTTGTCGTTCAGTTATATCTGTGCCATGGCGTTCTAACAATAGTACTGAGACGGTCTGCAACCTGGTGATACACTTTTCCAGTTGTATGCTGCCTAGCATTAAGGATGGATGCAAATGATCAGCAAGTTTAAGTTGTACTCGATATTCCTTACCCATGGTCCACTTTAATAAATATTTTGGAAAAATATAGGGATTTCGTAACTTAAATATGTGATCATGTAGATTTTTGCCCGTGTGTTGTAGACCAAGTAGAGCTATATATGTATTCGAATCAATATTACATCCATCGAATAGGGTATACGACAATGCATCTTCGAAGATCTGTAGGTAAGGACTCTCCCTCAGGTAACTCTGCGCTCCAATAAGTTGTAGACCCTCATAAATACATGCAACGCATTCGCTAGTACAATACATCTCCACCATAGCTTTCTCGAGCGTGCAATCCTGATTCTCAAATGTGTCCATTATGCCAGTGGTATAATATAACATACTCTCCATACCATACAGAGTACTTGCTATCTTACCTATTATCTCTTGAACGCTTTCATACTCGTGCATATCTTTATCTAAATGTTTCCTCTGTAATACATGTCTCGTCAACATTTTTGTAAACGTTTTCAATGTACCTACTGCTTGTGAAGCAAGATTTCTGTTTCCAGGAGCAAGTATGTCTATCAGTATATTTGTTCCAGCTTTCAGATCACCCAGAAGATTTTCCTTTGGAACTTTAGTATCTTTAAAAATAACTGTACTGACTGGACTGCTTTTAAGTCCAACTAGATTCTTAACATCCTTGATTATGACACCTCCGAAATCACGTTCCACCAGAAGTATAGATAGAGAACTCTCAGTATCACCGACCTTACGGCGATGACCATAGTGACAGAAGACGAGAAATAGATTAGCATCATGCCCGTTGACTACAAATGTCTTTTCGCCATTTAATAACCAATGTGTGTCAATTTCTGAATCTACAGCTATACTGGCAATATTATTTATATTTATTCCGCTTCCAGGCTCAGTGAAGCACACAGTAGGAATAAGCTCTCCAGTCGCTATCCTTGGCAGATACTTGGCTTTCTGCTCTTCTGAGGCCAGCGCAGAGATGATTTGAACGGGTACGATGCAATTTTTGACCATGTAACATCCCAACCATGGTAAGCAGCTGAGTACCTCCACCAGCTTGGCCGACTCTGAGTGATTCAAGTTCAGGCCAAGATATTGCTCGTCCATACACGCCCGAAACACACCTAATTCTTTTAGATGAGTCAGAATATCTTCCTTCCGCACACTTTGCACATTCTTCATACACTCCGACATGTACTTCTCGATGGGCTGGAGCCATTCGAAGAAACGTTGATGCCTATCCTTGGTTTGCGGCTCGGGATAGTACATGAACTCATGATCGAACGTGGCGAGAAACAGATTCTTGGCGAACGGCTTGCGTTGCGGCTGCTTTTTTAGGGAGGCCGGCAGCCGAATTTCGAGGTTAAGCGTGTCCAGGGCATGTTGGCTGACACGCTGGTTTTGCGTGTGACGGACAGGCGTGCAGACGTATGAGGTATACCACAATTGCTTTCTGCACAGTAACCGACGTGTCAGCATTGTTGTTGCGTCAAGATAATTTCTTTGCAATACTCTCGTAATGCAGAGAACGCACAAACACCGAAGAGGTTATGATGAACAGGTTATGAGATGAAATTATTCGTTTCGACAAGTTGGCTGTACTGCTTTGCTGCTGACTTCGTATTGGCTGCACTGCTTTTGTTTAAACTGCTGTGCATGAAAAATTTTCTCACAAAATTCCTTCTTACTATCCAATTTTACTATTATAGATTAACTGTAATCTTGATAGATTAACTTTAATCTTGATTGAACTCTCTCTCTTATCTATTGAAAAAAATCACGGCACAAAATTACATAATGAATTCATGTAATTACAACAAATAAATTAGGTAACAGATTGTTCCACAAATCAGTATTTTTTAAAATTTAAAGGATGATTTATCAAAGCAGCTTCAATAAATTTATCGAAAATAAATATTTTTATGCTAAAAAGTGGATTACATCATCTTTCAGTGTTTAATATAACACTATACTTAATTATCTTTCAATATTCTTTGTATCAATTTCATTTCTTTGTTTTTTTCAAAGGAGTTATTTCTAAATTTTTTGTAAACACAGACATTTTTTACGTGCATGTAGATTAATTTTTATGCAGCGTATATTTTTCTGATTGAAAAATTATATGTTTTCCTATTTCAGCTATCCATATCTGCAGACTCTTAATTAAATATGCGTAAAAATTCATGCTAATTACATGTAAGCAATTTAAATTTTATTTTCTCGTATATATTTTTCTTTTTATTAAAAAATTATACGTTTTCGTACTTCAGCTGTTCGTGACGCATCAGAATTGCTAATAAAACAATTTAATTAAATCTCATTTTCTTATTCCATCTCGATCGTTCATAGCATCTATATAGCCGTTTATTCTGAATCACAGTCATTTTCCCGGAGGAGACATGAAGGAATTAGAACAATGTCCGTAAAAGCAATACTGCTAATTCTGCTGTCGCTCACATTTCTCTCGAATGGCTATAGTATCTTTGGCAAGCGTAGCAAAACGCGCACTCATCGAAGCAATGACAAATGTGTCTGTACCACCACCATTCGTTATAATCCTTTGACGGATGCAAATATTACCATCGATCCTCATTGCGACTGTAGATCCACTGGCTTTGGGGTAGTTCGAATAATCCCATACGGGATCTGCATTTCAGATGCATGCGACACGATGCACGTGGACCTGTCCTCCGTGTGTGTCAGATGCGGCATGTGCGTGGCCGTCGCCGAGAAGGCATGTATTTTTTATCACTTTTATAATAATTAAATATATAAATCATACATTTATTATTATTATTATTATTTTATATATATATATATATAATACATTTTGTATTACCTTATTATTATATTATAATGTACATACATATAAATTTTTATTCATTTTTTTGTTAAATATTTTTTTTTTCCGTAATCTTTTTCCAGATTAACCAAACTCTGCTGGAAGTTCATGACATGATGATGTCTGATGAATGGCTAAATGAGACGGAGACAGTGCTCCTTTTGAGAACTATCTGCGACTATTCTTTTCAACAGTAAATTTTTCTTCGTTACATAATATTTCATAATGTTCTTCTTTATTGATACTTTTTATAGTTATAGTTTGCGTGAAATTGATGGCAAAAGATTTATTTCTGACCCTTTACCGGGTGACAAGCTCGTCATTTCATCCGCAGATGGGTTGTGGGAGAAAAAGTAAGATCTTTACAGAAAAACTTACATTATAATATTTATAAACTTACATTATATATATAATGTTTATTAAGCTTACATTTTTATATAAAATAAGAGATTATAAGAGCAGTTTCATTTATAACAAATCATTTATTACTTCAGTCTATCAAATTTAATTTACGTAATTAATTATGAAAATCTCTTTTAATTTATTATGAGAATAAATGAGTAATTAGCTTATAAATAATTAATTGTGAGATTAGTTTGAAAAATATGTGTCACAACTTCCTTGATGAGATACAAGAGCTGCAGTTATATAGAAATTGGAAAGAATGGTGTGAGGATGACGAACACATTCCTAATCTCGAAGATATTCTTTGCAGGTATAATATTAATATACATTCAATTCGAAATTTATCTTTTAATCTTTAATCTTATTATTTTCTAGTTTGTCAGATATAATTAAATTATTTAAATGATATATGATTTGTAAACGTGTCAATTCTCAGATAGCATTTATAGCAAGATTTGACCTTGTCTCATAATCTATAAGATCGACTAACTAATGCTGACCTAATGACTTATGCAAAATGAATAATCTATAAATTATAATCTATAATACTCTAAGGGAAAAATAAAAACCTTTGTTTTATATTGCTGCAGAAACGAGATCAGCAGTTTACGAGATTGCAGAGGTATAAGCAACATATATGAGCGACAAGTACCTACGATTTTCGGGGCTCGTGTGAAACTTCTAGCTGAATATATATAATAATTTTAAGTGATCATTTATATCATATATTTTGAATTATATAAAAAAATAATATCTATTAAAAACAATATATTATACACTGAATACGCTATTATATTTGATATATTAATTTTATGATTATGAATAAATGCAAAATAAATAAAAACAAACATTTGACTAAACTTAAGTCTGAAAGAATGCATAATACGATATGTATTATAAACTGCAAAGATAAAAAACAGGAAGCAGAAAAACAAACAAAAAAGCAGAATAGCAATCATGTAACTTTTTCTTTAGAGCGGAGAAACGTGAAAAAGTAAAAATTTTTATGTATGTACATATATAAACAAAAAGTACACATGCATACAAAAAATTTTCACTTTTCATATTTCCGCTCTAAAGAGAAACTTACATGATTACTATCCTAAACTGCCAAACAGTAGAAAAACTGTTGACTACCAGTGTGAGTTCTGATTGGCGTCTGCTTTTCGGCTTTCTGTTCTTTTGTCAAAATATAATGAATTTCCCTAATACATTCCCTAATACAAGATTAGCATCACACTGAGATCTCTAGGTAAAAAAAATCTAGATCAACATCAGAATAGGATTTTAATTGTGAAACGGAAAGACTCGAATGTTCTCCGCATCCGGTGGGATTCTTTTGGTTGATTTGATCTTTCTCTTAGACAAGCCTGAGAAAGAAGACCAGGACGTTCTTTTCGGACCTGCTGATCTTCGTCGTACCTTCAAACAAGGCTCCAAACCTCTCGGTTTCTCTGGAGAAACGTTGCGTTCTTGAAAATCGACGAACGACTGCACTTGACGAGCATGATCCTGTAGCATGGTCATATAAGGGAGATCGTAGCCATGTAACTTGCTAGCCGGAGCAGCAACATGGAGATGAGGATGATCGTTGGAGCGATTGTGACCATCGTGATGATGATGATGAAAGTGGAGATGTGGTATCAGATTGTGCTTACGTATACCGCGCACAACGATTTCCCGCATTTGTCTCCGCTTATTCCATATTCTTTCGAAAATGCCGATAGAAATCGCAATAACCATACCTGCTACCAAGAGGAAGAAAGCGGAATATACGTCGGCGAGCCTCGCGCTATGGAAGTCCGCCGACGCCGCGCACCGTGGCATCGTCGGCAACATTCGTTCCTGTATCTTATCCAGGACGCCGCGTTCATAGATTCGCAATATACTGCAAATAAAATAGTACAAATTACAAATAAACACGAAAACGGAATGTCAATTTATTAATTGACGTTAAAAAATGCCATTGTAGAAAAGTACTACTGAGCACTATGAGTATTTTGAGGCACTACCGTACTACAGCACTACTCAGCACTACTGTACTACTACACTACAACACTACTACGCTGGTATATTGGATAATATCATTTGTAGAATAAAACATCGAGATCTCCAATCAGAGATTAGCAAAAATATTGTCGATCATAGTCATAGTGTGAATAAAATTGAAATCATTTTAAACGTGTAAAAGTTAGTTAAAGAATAAAAAAGAATTGATTACGTGTGAACGTCTCAACAATTGCTGATTACATTCTGAGAGGAGAAAAGATTAACAAAACATCTAGTTAAATCAATGTCAGACTCTGTTTAAAATTGATGTATTTATATAACTTGTGTAAACCTTCGGTATTTGTTTGTAAGTTGAGACTGCTTTTTGTTTTTTGATATAAAGCATTTCAAATATTAGTAATTTTAATTATTTACATTGATGTATGTACATGATGGAACTGTGCTAATTATAATACTAATTTTAATGATAATTCATGCTAATGTGTTACATCAACTTAACGACAACTTAGCATACTTGAGATTGATGATTTTCCTATATGGACAACTTTTGGCCATAGGAAGAGCGACAACCGTAAGTGTTTGTGGAAGCATCAACTCCTTCAAAGTGCACCGTTCCTGTATGAATGTTGTTCTGAGGGCTCGTCGAGCAAGAGTCGCGCTGACGAAGAATCCGTACCTTTCTTTGACAGCTTTCATAAGGCCGGTCCTCGTCTCTAAACGAGATTCACGATTGTTAAACGCCTTTATGTACAATTGACGGAGATTGCTGTCATTTGCATTCTGAAAAGTAATATGTGACAGTATTAAATAATTCCGACATTAGTAAGTTAAGTAACTAAAAATATATAATTACATATATAACTGCCTGAAATAATTACAAGATTCTTCCAGCGATACAGTATTGTAAGATAATTGAAAGTAAAATTCCCTGACATTTCTCTGATTTCCAGATAAAATTTTGTGATCTTCCCTGATTTTCAATAATACATATTTTGAAATGTTTTTTGTATTTTCATCCTGATTTCAAAATTGTTAAATATTTTGTTGATCGAGCAATTTAACGTAACAGTGTAATTAAATTACTATTAATGTTGCTGACACTGCATTTTATTGTTAAGTTAGTAGTATTTTTTGTCTTTGATAGACACGTAGCAAAATAAAAATAGTACAGAGTGGCATTAAAGAATTAATATGACACAAAACGCTATAAGAAAAATAATATAAATAATAATATTGATAGTACTCTTATGTATGTATCATCGGCGGCACTGTATCC